CTCAAAAAGCAAACATGATTCAGAGCACATTTCATCACTGTCTACCTGAAAGAGAAATCCCTCCATGTCACCAAACAGGTTTTTTTTTTTGCGTAGGGGTCTATCTAGATATATTTATATAAACTCACAATATCCCGTATAAATACCACACCAATTCAAAAGTGGATGCTAGGCAATCCATCAGACAACCTCTAACAAATAGCAAACTATTGCAATTGTTTTACTCTTGGAAGAAAGTGGGGGCTAGCAGGGAAGAAGAAGAAGAAGAAAAATGACCTCAATATGAGATGGAAGTGAACACACTGTTTGAAGTTCCACTGAAGTGAAGTGCTTTATAACAATTAACTGAGTTTAGAAAAAGGCAATGTCGCTGCAATCTAGGGGAAATTATATCATTAGAGGGAATGCTACATTTAACTGAAAGGGTCCTTTCGGAAGGAAAAAAAGGAGATGATCACAAAACTGGTACGGTAAATCGGTGCATATGACCAAATTAAAAGACTAAAATGGCTATATCAAGTTCCTTAGAATACATCAACAAAATGAAAGCATGTGCTTTCTTCAGAATATGCATTTCAGGAAGAATTATGGCCCGGAGACAATTTGTATACTTAAGAAATACTGTTCCCACTCCATTACATCATTTGTAGTGCTACTTAAACCAACATATTTATTTAGCTATCTTCTGTACTGGTGCATTTTTTAATGTTAGGCCATTAGTCAAAGATTCTTTTTTACATTTTTTTCTTTTTTTTTTTTTAAAAACACTTCAACAAGGCAGCAAAAATTAATTATAAAGATAAATGATGGCAATTCTGTGCAGAAGCAGAAATGAGTAGGAATATTAAATGTATATGTATGATAAAATAAGCCAATACATCTATGGTTCACTGACATGCTGCAGGTACAAAGCTGGCTCACACTTACAGGAGGCATTTATTGAAAAAGATGCACAGCAATTATCATCATAATTCATAATTTGCCCCACTGTAGGTCATAGCACCTACAGTGGGGCAAAAAAGTATTTAGTCAGCCACCAATTGTGCAAGTTCTTAAAGAAGAAGGTACAGGTCTGTGAGAGCCAGAAATCTTGCTTGTTTGTAGGTGACCAAATACTTATTTTCCACCATAATTTGCAAATAAATTCTTTTTCAAATCAGCCAATGTGATTGTCTGGATTTTTTTTCTCATTTTGTCTCTCATAGTTGAGGTCTACCTATGATGCCAATTACAGGCCTCTCTCATCTTTTTAAGTGAGAACATGCACAATTGGTGGCTGACTAAATACTTTTTTGCCCCACTGTATATGGGTTGAGCTATATTTTATTGTGGGTTAGGAAATTATATTGTATTATGGTAACATTATGAGGTGGATACTTCTAATTATATTCAGTATATTGATTCCCTTTTTAATTAAACATACCCTCATTTTTTTTTCCCCCATTACATGCAGCCCAGCATGTAAACTACAAAAATACTACTAATGGAGCTTACAGTGGTCACATATTATTTATACAGTTTAAAACTTAAAAAAAAAAACTGTAACTGCCTAAAAGTAACTTCGGTCCTATTAAAGGATAAAGGAGAAGTGCATCTTTTAATAATAAATAATAAATGAACATTTTTTGGCAGGTAAAAAAATGTGCATTTACTATTTTTATTTTGGGAGCCTGGAAAACATTGCACCAGCAATCAGCAGATCATGGTTCCATGCAGGACTCCTGCAGACCTGTCAGTGTATCTCTGTAGCTCGTACGGGCAAACAGATACACACTGACAGGAAGAATCATTGAACTACCACAGTGCTCGGTAACTTGTTATGAACAGTGAGCTTATCCTTTAAAAGTCAGCAGCTACAAATACTCCCCAAATGCTCCTCACTGTGCATGCATGAGATTGTGCTGTGCTTTCAGACTGGTCCTGCTGCCTCCTGGGACATGTGGCATGTCTCAGGAAACTTCAGGTAGGCTGGGGGCCAAGCTGCTGTAATTCTTGCCTAGGCAAAAGTTGCAGATGTAGGAGCTGTTACAGTACCTGTTAGAAAAAAAAACACCAATTTTGTTGGAGCTTGGGGAAGAAAGGGGGTTGGGGGAGATGAGCTTTCAAATGGAGTTCGTCTTTAATTTGTTTTAATTTGTTTTAATTTGTTGGTTACTTACATGAACAGCTCTGTAACTAAAGATGAGCTAAGGTCCAGGCTGAAATTAGGTCAGGATACCCACAGGATACTGTCAAATGACAGATGCTTACAATCCTAATCACCTGTGGCCATGGAATTCCCTGCCCTGCAGCTGCACATAACAAGGGGTGCTGGTGACATCATCAACCTGATTTGGCTACATGGCCATATCTGGCCAATGACATTGTCCAATATGGCCAAATTAGGTCAATCATGTTACCAACTTCCCAGCCCCTTTGTTATGTGCAGCCACGGAGAAGAGAATTCAATGGCTGCAGTAGTTTGGGACAGTGGCCTGTTATCATGTGAAAGTTTCCTGAGGGTTCAGCCCTAGATGTCAACATGCTTAAAGATAAGTGAAAATCAAAAGATCTACAATGGGATTCTTAAAAACTATAAATGCTGTGTTATTACTATCACTGCATCATACAGAACCTTTTTAAGTTTTACCTTAGTTCTAATTTAAGGCATCTGACTGAATGTTATTGGTTTTTCAATGTATTTAAAGTGTTACTAAGCCCACAACAGTACAATCAGTCTGTATATGCAGTAAAGCATGCTTGCTATACTTACTGTGGAACAGGGACGGACTGACCATTTGGAAACTCGGGCACTGTCCGAGGGCTTGGGGTCAGTAGGGGGCCCCATGAGATGCCCCTGGTACCTTTTTCATAGGCTTTTTTGAGTTTGGTCAAGGACACAGGGGCCCCATGATCCCCTCTTGCCCGGGGCCCCATGAGTTGTTAGTCCGCCCCTGCTATGGAACCTAAGGGGTTAATCCTCTGCATTGTGTAAAAGGTCTGTTTGATCCTGTCTTCTCTGATCCTTCCCTTCTTCTACTGTCCCAATTCCATCTGCTGATAGTACAGAGCTCTAGGAGTCATGCACACAGTTTAGTGTGTATTGCTAGAGAGTTTTTTTCTTTCTCCGGGAGAGTGCATGTGATCAGCACAGGGTCAATCAGCACTCTCCATACAGAGGGTCAGGGGTCATACAGCCTCATAGAACAGTCAGAGCAGAATGAAAACTCCTACAAGCTTTAACCAGTGTTCAGCCGTACATTGATAGAAGTCAGAGGACTGCTATATACTGCTGATGAGAAATTATATTCACTAAAATAATTGCATTTCCATGTTGTGTGTGCTGTGGGAGACCAGATATAGTGAATGCAGGGTCATGGGTTTTGTAACACTTTAATAAATGTTTTTATTGTCTTTTAAATTTAAAAAAGAATTTTTGTCTGGAGTATTTTAGGAATTATTGTTGGTAACAATTCCCTTTAGGTATGTCACTTTTTCTTTAAACCTGGAATGTATAGCATATTCAGTTCTAGCAATAATGTCACCATATGGAAGGATTATGCCTCTGTAGGTTTTTTGGAGGATTTTTAGGTTTGTACAAAAGAAAGATACTGAAATACTGTATTCTGTGCTTAGTGGGCATTCTAACCATCACTAGGTCCCAGGCCACCATTATCTTTTGGTTGTAAAATCAACATTGTTTTCTCAGTATTAAGTCTAAAGCAGCAAAGTCTTTGTTGAATACAATAACAAGTTTACTTACACTCACTGAGCTGTCATTAAGAGAAACCTATGATACGTAAAATTACAAAATGTAAAATGTTTATAGGACTAACTGCATATGGATTTATAATGCATATACCGTTTGGGTATTTGTGGCTCCTTACAAATCTAAATTCTAAATTCACGATTTACTTGGAGTAAGCCATGAGTGACTCAAGCTGCAAATATAGATCAGTATACATATGCATATACCCAAAAAAACACTAATTACAAAATATTGTAATATATACATAGTGATGCATTGCTAATATGTTGCTTATGCCAAATATTAACGCCTTTTCTAACAGCAAGTGAGGGTCCTAATTATACTGTATACTCGCGGATAGGTCAAAAACATATTGATATTACAGTCTCAGATGAGTTTTCTTTCAGTGATGCATTTATGGGGTACATTAAGTACCTAACACCAGTCCTAACTTTTATTAATGTAGGTAAATTTGGCCAGGCTTTAGATTAGGTTTAATAAACCTTCATCCATTTCGAGTAACCTTCTTGCATATTCTCTTAGCTTAAAGCTGAACTGGGCTCTATTTGCTGGAGGTAAACCAGAGGTGAGCCAATTTGGAGTTGGGTTTGATATCTAGGTAATAAAGCTTGGTGGAGGTTTTCCTCTAGCCCAGCAATTGCCTTCTAGCAACCGAGTCCCGTTTATATGCTTTGTTTCTCTTAAAGTGTTATCTGGTCAAGCATAAAACAATTGTGTATTTAAAGTGTATGTAAGTCACATTAATAAGAAAACACAGTAGGGTGCCAGACTAAGTGCAGCGTTAGAAACAACCTTGTTTATTGAAACCTACAATTGGCAACTCACTGATTAGTAGAATTAAAAGACATGTCTATACATCCAAACTAGCCTCCCATGTGGTCTCGATGGTCTCCAGCAGCTGCAGATCAACCGAGCGGTGACATGGAACAGCAGGAATTCGCCGACTGCCGCAGTAACCAACGTGAAACGCAAAATGCCACTGGACCAGAAGTGATATCAGCGAGAAGACATGATTCGTGGATGTGGGCGGTAATGTGTTTCAAAGTTTCTGCTTCTTCCTCAAACATGATTGGCTCTCAGGGGTGTCCATCTTATGTAGCCGCCAAACAAGGTAGAACCAAAGAGCACAACTTCCACTCTAGACTAGCCGATATTAAAAGAGAATTCAACTGTTCACAACTAACATATCAATTGGACATTAAACCATATAAATATAAAACTGATATCTCATTCTAATTTAGTGCTAAATTAGCACACATTACAATGAGCTAGGCTAACTTACAGCAGAAGTACACCAATCTTATTTTATTTTATTTTGAAAAATTATTTTTCAAATTTTAGCAGAATCACATGTTTTACCCTCAAATGATAATACTCGTTTTGACCAGCAGATAGAAACTTGCCAGTAGTTCGCTGTGGCTGTCCCTGTTCTCACTGATACAAGAGTGTCCTGTCTCTAGCCCTCAGCAGAGGGATTGATTGCCCAAAGAGCTAGCAATCATTAAGGACAAAATGCCTAACAATAAAGTGTAATGCAACAAACTAATATCTCATATAAAAATCAATATAAAACAATAACTAAAGTCCCATGAAAAGTCTCATAACATCACTGTTAAATGTGTATAAGATAAATCTTCTCTCTTCTTCAGTGCCAACCGTGCCACCACCATTAGGAGAAAAAACCTGCTCACCTCACTTTGTGACCTCATCAATAGGTCATTATGAGCTCAACATATGGACAGACTTGTGGTCTTTCTCCAGCTCCTCTCCTGGCACCACCTCAAGCTGATTCTCTCATATAATATGTATTATGGAAAACAGAAAAGTGTAACCATAGTGCTCTCTATTTATATAACGATTTATTAGTGCCCAGATTAAAAACACTTACAAAATGTAAGACACAAGCCAGCATATAATGTATAATTTTGTTACGTGGCTTAGGCTAACCACCCCATTCTCCCGGATGGCCATCAGTTCAAAATGTCTACGGGTTGTCTAGGGTTGGACAGGCAGGTAAGTAGCTTTAATGCAAAAGAGACAAAGCATGTCTCTTCTGCATTAAAAATCCTGTCTATCCACCCATTTTCTTTGGAGAGTAAAGTTTTACTTTAGGCACTATTTAAATTGCTAAACAACCTTCTAATCCAGACATTCAGCAACCATCCCATCTTTCAATGACAACGGTTACCCTGTGCAGTTGAATGTGGTTGCTCACAGGCACTTCCTAGTACCATTGCCAGTGTCCCCATGACGTTACATTCTTTCTCCTGAATGAGTACATACAAGTATCCTCATTCATGAGAGAGCTCCAATATGGGAAACCTATGATGCAACTTCCAAAAGTGACGCCACTAACCATGATAAGACAAACCCACTGTTTGCCCTTAGAATGGAATGAAGAGGGGATTGCAGTCATTTGACATTTCTTCCACTTTAAGCATCTTGGTCTGATTTGGACTATAGAACACAGAAAACCTTCTCATTTCCATAGCATAAGGAAATGACCTTCTGTAGTCAACTGCAAAAACTGGGAACAATGGTAACTGATAAGAGTGCAGCGCAGGCAGCTTAGTTATCAGCTCACATGATTTCTTGCAAGGTCAAAGGTATTTTACACTTATCGAATATATATAACAATTGTCTTTCAATTTTATATTTAACAGATGTAGAGGGAGCAAATAAGAGAAGTTAATTGCTAGGGTTTTCATATACAATTGGACTCTTACACACATAAGTGGCAATAGCAGTACTCTGTACCCATTTCTCCAGCCAGCAATGTGCTCCCCTGGGTCTGAAAGGATATATTGACAGCAAAGGCTCAATACACAAGAGCTTTTAGAAAACCATACATTTTGCTATCAATGGCTGGCTATCATAAAAACACCAGAATGTGTGTGGAAAACCCTCAGCGCAATGGACCTCCTACGAAACAAACATTGCAGCTAGCATGTAATGTGTTCCCACATATAACCATAAATCAATAAAAAATGCAGCACAGTACTATAAACTCAAATATGGTGCTAATAATATAGTGAAAACAAAAATTGTGCTACATGACACAATACCATCTGGCTAACTTTGATGTACCTGTGGGTTATAATAGTGGGGCTTAAGTGGTCCTCTACCCATCTGAGACAGCAGTAAACTAGAATCAAATGGCAGAGTTTTGAAAATATGAGTTTGATATGCACAGTTCTTACACTGCTCACATTTACAAGCTATCATATACACAATTACCAAAAGGAATAACAAGTTTCTGCTATTAGTAGTAGTAGTAGTAGTAGTAGGTTTACAACATTTGGGAAACAAAAAGTGAATCCCTGTCTTCTCTTTATTTTGCGTTCAAAAATCTACATCATCCGTAGTTTGCCTTGCACATGCTAACTAAGCAGGAATACAATGATAAGCAGAGATTTTCTGACATGTTGGCAAACCTGTACAGAAGTCATTACCAATCCTTCCCTTCCGTGTGGATTAAAGAAAAGGTTCCCCTCACTGTATGTATACTGTGCCAAGGTGAGGAGTTAGTTACAGGTCACATGCAGTGATCTCAATAAGACAATAAATTAGCACCAATGTTGGGAAGAGATCAGCCCCTTTCAGACAGGCAAATATTTAGGCTAAAATGAAGGGTGGTAAGGAATTTGCCTACAGCTGATGAGATCTTTCACCATTTTATCAGACCTATTTATTTCAGGTACGTATATAGCACTGTCACTTTACATACATACATATGTACATTCACATCAGTCCCTAACCCTCAAGGGGCGCACAATCTAAAGTCCCTAACTCACATTCATACATACACAGGGCAATTTTTCAGACAGGAGCCAATTAACCTACCAGCATGTCTTTGGAGTGTGGGAGGAAACCAGAGTACCCAGAGGAAACCCACGCAGTCACAGGGAGAACATGCAAACTCCAGGCAGGTGGTGCCGTGGCTGGGATTCAAACCAACGACCCTAGTACTACTAGGCAGAAGTGCTAACCATTTAGCCACTGTGCTGCCCCAACCTAATCTTTACTTCTGATGAAGGGGACGTCTGCATGCAATACATGAGAGAGGGAAGGGTTGTTCTCCTAACATGGAGCAAAATGGATAACTGTTGATTAATTGCGAAGATTTGCAGCATTGCAAAATATCTCCTTGCAAGAATTCCTATGATATCACATAGTTGATATTGTTCTCATATAAACCTACATACAGCTTAGGGGTAATAAACGTTCAGAATGGTTATTTGCAAAAATTAGGTAGTGTTGAACCTGGAAAAAGTTGTCTTTATTTTATTTATTGTAATAATTGTCAAGTACTTCAGTTTAGAGATCTGTTTTGTTTTATTACAACTGCTCCAGCATTTATTATGATCCACAATCTTATCATTGTGTGCTTTTGAAGTTGTTTGTACCTACAATTTATCCCAACCTGCAGATTCCATGCCATCATATCTGAACCATCCCATTTAAACATTACCAGGTTATAAGAGACTGCTTGGGAGAGATGCCATGGTACCATGAGGCTGAGACTTTATAAAAGGCTGCCATGTTATATGAAAGTGGTATCAAACCCCAAAACAAAAATATATTATATTGCAGCTTACCAAATTCCATATGTTTTTTTTAGTCTTTTTACTTTATTTTCTCCTGGTGATCCAGCCAGTAGGTCTGTTTTTTTTTTTACTTTCTTTAACAGACCACACTGTCCAGCAAAAATATCAATTAGAGGGTTTGGAAAATCATTTAACACTGACAATTGCCTACAATAATCAGCTTTTATTAATTTATTTAAAACTTTTATCCCAAAAGGAAAAAAGTGTTATAATGAGTTTGGCTTTAACTTGTTAGTCAAGTCCATATAAAATTGCTAGTGTATCTAACAATACCCTCTTCCCAGATTGACAATGTTGCTGTCCAAGGGTGGCTCTGTTGCTCCTCTCTTCAGAGTAAAGACACCCTAAGATAGGAAATGTGTCACTGGCCAGAACACCAGGTGAAATAAAGGAAAAAAAGAAATCTAATGCAGCTACCACATTTAAAGGCTAAGTTTACCTAAAAAAAAAAATGCACATCTTTTTGCAGGTAAAAAAAATGGGGGGGGTGCAATGCAAGGCTCCTGCAGACTGTCAGTATTTTTTTCTGCTCGTACCGCGTACAAACGGCCAGTTAGACAATGACAGGAAGAACCAATGAACTACCTAGAGCACTCACCAGGGCTCCGGTAGTTCATTGAGAGCTAAAAGCATCAGCCACAATGGACAGTACAACAGTTGTGATAGTTCTTCCATTCACATAACTCTGTAAATGAATGGCTCGGCTAGGTGGAGAGAGCCTCGCATGGCCATGTTTTTTTTTTTTTTAAATTGTGACAGTGGGTGCGGGGAGTAGATCCCCAGCCTGCTGTCACAACAAAGGATCGGAAGGCTGCGGGGCCTGCTCTCTTAGTAACAGGTTATATTACACCCTAAATATGGGTGTAACATGTAACATGTTACTAAAGGTGAAATTATCCTTAAAGGACTGGTAAGCTGAAATATCTTACATTTTTTAAAATGTAATACCACATAATGTGTTTCCTCTCTTTGAGGTTAGCAACCTAGAATGATTCATGTAATTTTGCCAATAAAAAATCAAGGCAACACATCTTCAAACACAAACATGTCATGTTTAAAGAGACTGCTAAAGACTGCTGCCTTATCACAGGAGACTATGGGGCGTTTGCTATGTTAAACCATACTTGACCCAGACACAAGAAAAACACAAGTGAAGACACTTTCCAAGTTAAAGTGTTACTAAACCCACAACAGTAAAATCAAGTCTGTGTTTGCAGTAAAGCATGCTTGTTATACTCATGGCGGAACTTAAGGGGTTAATCCTCTGCATTGTGTAAAAATTATGTTTGATCCTGTCTTCTCTGATCCTCAACTTCTTCCAGTGTCCCCCACTTATCTCCTAATAACACAGCCTCGGGGACACTCTGTACATACTCAGTTTGGTGTGTACTGACATAGTTTTTTCTTTTTTTTTGGAGGGTGCATGTGATCAGCACAGGGTCAATCAGCACTGTCCAGACAGAGGGTCAGGAGTTATGCAATATCATAGGGCAGTGAGAGGAGAATGAAAACTCCTCCTACAAGCTTTAACCAGTGCTCAGCTGGACACTGATAGAAGTCTCGACTGCTCTAACTGCTGATGAGAAAAGGTGTTTAGCAGTTTATATTTACTAAAATAATTGTATTGCATGTTGTGTGTACTGTGGGAGACCAGATATAGTGAATGCAGGGTCCAGGGTTTAGTAACACTTTAAATAGGATGAAAACAAAGCTTGT